TGTCAGGAAGATGATAAAAAAAATGAATCCAGAATCTCCTGAAGATTCAGGGCGCGACTCGTGAACTCTCAAACCTCACGGATTCATTCAGGCTGCGCATCTCGTCCACTTCCGTGAACAAGAGGGGTGTGCTCGCACTCGCGATGCAGCTCTTTCCGGTTATCCCTGCGCACAATTTACGCATTTTTTAAAGCTTAAGCTCCCCCTATGCTGGAGCTCAGCTCTCCTCAAATGGCTCTGCAGCGAGCACCACTTGGCATTTTTTGGCGTCTAAAAACCACATCACGTGGTTATATTAAAAACAAAAGATGTTTTGAAGAATGTTGGCGATGAGATTTCCGGTAGCCACTGGCATCCGCAGCAGGGAAATTGAGTTCAACAGAGCTACTGTTTAGCATTAAATAAAATAAATAAATACATATTCAGGTTTCTGCACAACTCGTTCAGGTTGTCCCAAGTTAACTTAACACATTGAAGTGAAATGAACATAAAACAATTAAGTTGTCCCAAAGCAAATCTCAAGAATTGTGTTGTTTCGGCTCAATTTTAATAATTAGTTTGAAAAAGCAGCAATCTTTCATCCTTTTTAAGTAGCTAGCTACTTGTGTTTATATCCCATAGGGGTTGAACCTAAATGCACACAGACTCCTGTGAGGGCCCATTTCAGAAAGGAGGTTAAGTAAAAACAAGAGTATTTTAACCCTGAAATGAGAGGAACTCTGGGTTTTCCGTTTCAAAATGGAAGGTTTGTCAAACTAAGCAGGGAATAGGCTACAGGCTAAGCATATAACAACCGGGAGGCTAATCGGCTAAGCAAAATAACCTTACCACAAATCGAAAAACAAGATTATTTTGCTTACCCCATTGGTTTTAGCTTAATTTGAGGAAAAACTCACTTCATTTTGGCGTATTATTTCTTAAAACAAGACAATATGTTTTGCTTGTCTAGAAAATGCTTCTTGATTTAAGAATTTGTAGATATTTTGACTAGAAACAAGACAAAAAATATGAGTAAGAAAAGCCTTTTTGCAGTGTACTAAAGCTTCCAGTCTCTCAGTAATAATAACACCATTGTTATTTTTTATAGTTATTTTAGCCTCTTGTGAAAAATATTTTTTTGACTCTCCTCTTCAAAACAGTGGATCATTAAGCAAATGTACATTTACACCAGGGGTGTCAAACTCAATTCCTGGAGGGCCGAAGCCCTGCACAGTTTAGTTCCAACCCTGCTCCAACACACTTACCTGTAGGTTTCAAACAAGCCTGAAGGACTCAAGTAGTTTGATCAGGTGTGTTTAATTAGGGTTGGAACTAAACTGTGCAGAGCTGCGGCCCTCCAGGAACTGAGTTTGACACCTGTGATTTACAGCATTTACTATATTTGCTTAACTATTTATGTTGGTCTTTCTTTAGATATATATATATATATATATATATATATATATATATAAATAAAATCTAAAATCTGGTTTAGTTTCCAATGATTGACTCTTTAATGATCACATATTAAAAGGCCGGAAAAAAAAGAGTCTTAATATGGAAAGAATCAAGTGTTTATTGCTCAGTACTTCTTTTAAAAAAAAAAGACATTGGTGCAATAACTGTTGTTACAAAGTAAATGAACAGAAGGACAGCAATTATGTGATATAACAGAGCTGTGAGAATAGAGAACATTTCTCTACCTTTAACAAAACATCCATCAGGAGAGGAAGAAAACAGTGGCCAATATAGATGGATTATCTATTAATCTAATCTTTCTTTTTTTTATTTTATTTGAAACAAAATCAGTAAAAGTGGTCTAAAATTGTCAACACACAAATACGTTAATACGAATAGAAGTCATTAACTCAATCCCTAACTATTAATTTCAAAATAAGGCACGATTTTCAAGAGGTAGAAATCTTGCAGTGAATTTGGCCGAGCATCGAGAACACATAAATCTAAAGTAAACTTCTGTAAGTCGTCAACAACATTGCATTAAATGATTGTTTAACACTTCAAAAATTAGGCTTTTCCACACAAAGCCTATCGTCTGTCACAAATAAAGAAAAATAAAGCATAAGTTTACAGTAGTTAATCGGTTCATTTCACACCTAACAGCATCAAACTCTTTATCAGTTAACCACTCCAGCTGAGTAAGTTTATCAAGCTATTTGGCGGATTTAGTGCATAAATATTTCAAATTTGATATATATGGCAGTGCAGAGATTGTAAGGAATCATGGCATTATGGTATGGCATTCTGTTCACTTTCCTATTGTTTTGATTTATTTCCTAAAGGCTATATTAGTATAAAAACAAACCTACACTAAAAAAATGCTGTAAAATATACAATATTACTGGAAACTTTGGTTGTCAGTAATACTTTAAAATGTATAAGCACACTATAAATGCACAATTACAATTGTGCTGTAAAACTATAGCACAATTGCAATTGTTTATTTACTGTGCACATGTAAATTTTACAGCATTACTGGCAACCAGAATTGCTAGTAATAAGGTACATTTTACAGTGTACCTTTAGGGAAACCATTGGAATTGATCAACCTATGTCAAATGCAAAGAAAAAAAACTGCTGGTGTTGAAAATATCTGCTAGAATAATTTGTGGGAGTGAAAAAAGTCTACACTGTAAAAAAAATGTGGGGTACACTGTAAAAAAAAAAAAAAAAAAAAAAAGTTGACTCAACTTAAAATTGTAAGCCAAATTGCTGTGCAGCTATTTTTGAGTTCACTCGACTCTTAACCCAAGTACTGCGCTTGACTAGATTTAAGTTGAACAAGTTGACTTACAATTTTAAGTTGAGTCAAGAAAATGTGGGGTAGACTGTAAAATAAAAAGTTCACTCAACTTAAAAAATTAAGACAACTTGCTGCACAGCTATTTTTGAGTTGACTCAACTTTTAACCCAAGTACTGCACTTGACTCGATTTAAGTTTACTTACAATTTTAAGTTGAGTCAAAAAATGTGGGATACACAGAAAAATAAAAAGTTGACTCAACTTAAAATTGTAAGGCAACTTGCTGCACAGCTACTTTTGAGTTGACCCATCTTTTAAATCAAGTTCTGTACTTGAGCCGATTTAAATTGACTTACAATTTTAAGTTGAATAAAAAATGTGGAGTACACAGTAAAATAAAAAGTTGACTTAACTTAAAATTGTAAGGCAACTTGCTGCACAGCTATTTTTTTGAGTTGACTCAACTTTTAACCCAAGTACTGCAACTGGCTCGATTTAAGATGAACAAGTTGAATTAAAGTTTTAAGTTGAGTTAAAAAATGTGGGGTACACTATAAAAAAGTTGACTCAACTTAAAATTGTAACTTGCTGCACAGCTATTTGTGAGTTGACTCAACTTAACTGCACTTAGGTCAATTTAAGTTGACCAAGTTACCTTACAATTTAAAGTTGAGTCAAAAAAAGCAAAGTACACAGTAAAAGAAATGTTGACAACTTAAAATTGTAAGTCAAATTGCTGCGCAGCTAATTTTAAGTTGACTCAACTTTTTAACCAAGGTACTACGATTGACTCGATTTAAGTTGAGCAATTACAATTTTAAGTTGAGTCAAAGAAATGTGAAGTACACTGTAAAATAAACTCAAATAACTGTAAATAACTCACTGTAAATAACTCAACTTAAAATGGTAAGGCAACTTGCTGCACAGCTATTTTTAAATTGATTCAACTCTTAACCGAAGTACTGTACTTGATTCGATTTAAGTTGAGCAAGTTGACTCACAATTTTAAGCTGAGTCAAAGAAATGTGGGGTACACTGTAAAATAAAAAGTTAACTCAACTTAAAATTGTAAGGCAACTTGCTGCGCAGCTACTTTTGAGTTGACTCAACTTTTAACCCGAGTACTGTTCTTGACTCGATTTAAGTTGAGCAAGTTGAGCTAAAATTTTAGGTTGAGTCAATATTTTTTACTTTTAACCCAACGCTGGCGCAAATATGGACAAACCCAACAGTTAAATTTAAATTCAACATAAATTAATCCATATTTGACCAAACATTGGGTTGACACAACCCAGCATTTTTTCAGAGCGTAGCCAAAGCATTGAGACGATTTGCACCCAGGATGTTTACATCCAAGCGAAATAAAAATAAATAACTTTCTCCAACACAAAGATACATACTAGTAAAGCACACCAAGTGTCAACCCCAGGTCACAACTTAAACTCTTATGGAAACATGAAAAAGGCGAGCGGAGCGTGTGGATGGGTCCACACAAGCGAGCCTATGGAAGTGTTGAAATCAGTAAGCAGGAGGCTGATATGCTCCCTCTCCCACTGTAGTGGGGGTGAAGGGGGACTGCTGGTAACCATCAGGACCACCTGGGTATGACGAAGACGGGTATGGAGACGTGTGGTCAGTGGTCGGGTCATTGTATCCTATGCCAATTTCATCCATTCCCAGGCGGTATCGTCGAAATGCGAGCACGGTAAGCAGAGCCTAGAGGAAGAAGCATGAGATTGAGATCAGCAAGCAGATAACCCAATAAAGCAGAGCAGGGCAGTATACGGAGTTTGCAAGCTATATAGGTATATTTAAAAAAAATGATAGGACATAATACCATTTACATCGAGAAGCACATTTGAAAAATAGTAGACAGAGTTAAATTACATAATCCAGTTTGTACAAAACAAGGGTCATGCTTTACATTAAAGACGTTATGGACTGAAAAAAAAAAATTAACATATAACATATAAGAGATAATAGTACATTAAAAACTTTGTGTAAATTTCAGAACTCAAAACTTAGTCGTTCCTCAGATAAAACAGCTTATTAAAGCAATACTGACAAAACCACAGGTTCTGGAATGTTCTACTCTGTGATGTAACAGGGTTGAAAACAGGGCTGAACGATATTGGGAAAAAAATCGGACACTGCAATATTTCGTTTTTCTGCCAGGGCTCGACAATAAGGACTGTCTGATGGTTTGGGAAAGTAAACAGGATTGTCTGCCTTGTCAATAAAGTTTAATTTGGCTGTGACTGTTTGTCAATTGTGTGCAAATAAGGTGCTTTCACACCTAGACGTTTGTTTCGGACCCCGTCTCGTTTGCCCAGTTAGCACGGTTTGCATATATATCCAACAATCGTGCTCAGATCCATGCTAAATCAATCGGTCCGAGAACGATTGAAATTAATTCTGGAGCAGATCGATTCTATTGAGAAAACAAAACTATCCAACAAACTAGCATACCAGGCTATATCACAGTGTATTATGGTTGTGTGATAACCACATACTGTATACGGTTACATAAAGAAATAATTATAAGCAGGTTGGGATGTCTCGACTGATCTTGACGGCTGCTTCGCGCTCCAGTCCGTGTGTCTGTGTTTGCACTGGGTGAAGAGCGGTAAACTGAGTGCAAACCAAACATAGATGCACGGAGACTGAAGCGTGAAGCCGTAAAGATCAGTCGAGTCATCCGCGCTCAGCAGCGCTTCAATGTTGGCGGGGAAATAGCCGGGTTTAAAACTTCAGTTCCAGGACAACCCTATTACAGACAACACAAGGGTGTGCTGCAGAGGACTGCAGTGTTTTACCATTCACCAGGTCACATAGGCTGAAGCAGGAAAGCGTCCTCACGGTGTTTAACTAGTGCCATGAGCTGAAGCCCAGGAGGACACTTAAGCGCATCACTGAGATTGTGATCTTGTTTGATGCTAAATTGCTTTTAATCGTTTAAAATAAACTTACTACATAATATTTTAAGTGATTTTTACACCATTTCTGCATTTTGAAATTGCGGCAACAGCTGGAGGTTTGTAGTAGACAGCATATTACTGCAATGTTTACAGTGCTGGTCCGATACTTCCGGGTTTCTTCCCACCGCAGCCTCGCTTTGGTTCTTTAAAATCGCGGCCGCGTGAAATAAGCGTATTGTGTGGGCGTTCTTGGCCTTTGCTACACGGTGAGCTACACAGTGCGATGCGTGGAGTGCCTGTACTTGTTTTGAACAGGAAGATGTTCGGCACTTTTGTGATGTCCTCAGCTATTGGAGTCGTCTTTGAAAATAGTCCACAGGTTTGTCCTTGCAACTGGGTTTGGTTTCTAAATGTTGTTTTAATTTAGAAGGTTTCATGTGTCTTGTGAAAGCACTTCACTAAATATGACACAATGAGGTTTTAAGCCTTTTTTGTCGTCGAAATAAGTATATCCACACTTTACATATTCGAGGTCGTACTGTACTTGCGCTTCGACATTTGTTGCCATAATTAAATGAAATTTTACATGTCAAACAGTACGATTGTCGCACCCGCATTTCAAAATAAAAGTCAGATATAAGCAAAATAAGTTAAAGTTATAAGTTGCTTTTTTGACCACACACTACGCAACCTACTGAAAATGTTCCCACGACCCACTTTTGGGTCGTGACCCACCAGTTGAGAAACACTGCTTTAGACTTTGCGCCTAGATTGTTAAAATAGAGCCCTGAATCTGTGGTGTCTGCTCAAGTGTAATACAAACTCAACATTGCATATCCTGCAATATGACAACTGAGGATGCGCACATTGCGATATCGATGCTGAAATGTTATATTGTGCAGCCCTAGAACCACCTCTGCAGATGACTGACACCCACTTCTACTTCATTGTGTATTTATCCCTGTTAATAAACAGTCTTTCATCTTATTTAATTCTTGAACTAATTAATGAATACTTAGGTCTATTTAACTGATTATTTATTCATTCATTAGGCTTAGTCCCTGATTTGTCAGGGGTCGCCACAGTGGAATGAATCCCCAACTTATCAAGCATGTTTTATGCAGCAGATGTTCTTCCAGCTGCAACCCAGTACTGGGAAACACTAATACACTCTCACACTACTGCCAATTTAGTTAATCCAATTCACTTACAGCGCATGTCTTTGGACTGTGGGGGTAACCGGAGCACCTGGAGGAAAGTCACGGGAACATGGGACGAATATGCAAACTCTACAGAGAAATGCCACCTGGTCCAGCCGGGAATTGAACCAGCAAACTTCTTGCTGTGAGATGACAGTGCTAACCACTGAGCCTGATAGAAACCTTATGAAATTTAAAATAGTTACATTAATCTTTCACTGAATTTATCTTTAGATGAAAAACACATGCCCTGCATATAGCCCATGCAGCCAAAAACAATACACCGCTTAGCCCTATAATATAGTGAGATGTGCTCACCCAGGTGGCCGTGGAGAAGAAGGCGAAGGCCACGACTGCTCGAGCGGCATCTGCTGGGACGAGCAATGTTTCAGCCTTCGTTTTTGACCACAAATTGGCCAGGACACAGAAACACACAAACCACAGAAACGTCCACACACCTGATAAGGAAAAAGAGGAAAGAATTGAGTTAGTTTTAGTTAGTTAATTCTAGTAAAAAAAAAAAAAAAAAACACTTGTTTTATTTTTATTTCAGTTAACGAAAACATTTCTTCATTTGATTTTGTTAACCTTAATAACCCCGCCACGTTGGACAGTTTTTTCAAAAAGATACGTTGTCGTTGCTTAAAACATGCCATATCAGTGTGGATGGAAAGCCAAAACAGTCGCCTCACAGCAAGAAGGTCGCTGGTTCGAGTCTCGGCTGGGTCAATTGGTGTTTCTGTGTAGAGTTTGCATGTTCTCCCTGCGTTCGCGTGGGTTTTCTCCGGGTGCTCCGGTTTGAGTGTGAATGAGTGTGTATGGAAGTTTTCCAGAGATGGGTTGCAGCTGGAAGGGCATCCGCTGCGTAAAACATATGCTGGATAAGTTGGCGGTTCATTCCGCTGTGGTAACCCCAGATTAATAAAGGGACTAAGCCGAACTGGAATTGAATGAATGAATTAAACTAAAATGTATTAGTGTGAACATGGCCTTGCGCAGATTCTCCTAACTCTGTTTTAAAAATTAGCGCCAGTTTATCAGGAAGTGACGATTTTGTGCCCTTTCAGTCACATGCTGCTTTATTCGTAAATATTTTATGCAATATCACAGTATATCCCATGAATTTGACATCTTTGCATGGAAACATAGGTAGTGACTAATAAAAGACATGAAAAAAAACAGCACTTATTCTTACCAGAGAAAACAAGATCACCCAAGACGATGTATTTTCTGTCTTTGGCATTGCTGATCTGGGGGAAGTAGGCATCCAGCACAATAAACGCGACGCTGGCCAGGAAAGCCAAAATTCCAATACCGATCGCATAGTTACAAGCGCTGTCGCTCTCATTGAACATGCATTTAGTGTCATCACCTCCATGATGATTTGTGTAGCCCTCATTGATGATGGTAGCAAATACCACAATGGAGAAGAGCTGGGATGGAAGGAAACAAAGTAGGAGTTAGAGAATGTCTTCAATAGTACATTATTACACACACACACAGCAAAGACACTACTATTTGGTGCTCTGCATGCATTAAAAGATCTAAAAGCGGATTTCAGATTGGTAACATTAACTGTCACTTGGATGTTCTCACAGTGAACGTTATTCAATGGCCCAATATACTCACAACAAATTTAGCTTCCATTCTTTTGTTAGAAATAATAGATTGGGAATAAATTTACAGCTAGAGCTGCACAATTAATCAAAAACAGATTACGATCTCGATTCGACCCCCTAGACGATCTTAATTCAGCATTTCTACAATTCTGCAATATTTTCAAGTTCAGGAGAGAAGCAAAGGCGGCTACTTTAGTGAACAGAACCTGCATAGGCTGTAAAAAACAGGTAATAGAGTTTTGAATAAGGGTGTCACGATCCTCCAAATCCTCGATTCGATTACATTTTCGATTCTAAAGTCACGGTTCGATTTGATTTTCGATTATGAATAATTAATTAATTAATGACCAATTAATTATTTGTAGCCTACCGTTTAAACTACTTGACCTGCATGGTCTTTGTTTTACGCATAAACAAATCATACAGTAAATGAATAAAGGCAAGATACACACATAATTACCACCTGTCAATCACTTTTTCTGCGGGACTCGTGAATAGGCAGTGATCTGTGTCGTTAAAATGTCGTCGGTAAAAAAAGAGGCACAACCAACAGGAACCAGCCAACAGTATCTGAGGTGTTCGCTAAAATGACTAAGTACAAGTGAGTGAAAGATTGAAGCAGTCCTCTGACTGCCTGGACCTGCTGTCTCGAGCGCATGGCTGTGTGTGCGTCTGTGTCTGTGTGGTCACGTGATGTGCATTTTCAGAGGTAGAGAGGAAGGAGGGCTGCTCAGAAATGCCACACGACACTGTGGATGTCAAATCGTTGTCGTTCTAAAATGCCATTTAAAAACAAAGACAGTGTAAACAGGGCCTGAGTGTGTACTTTTCGCGAGCGGATTTGCAACGGGGGCGGGCGGAGGATCGCGATGCCGGTGTTGTCTATCGGACAAACCGTACGTAATACGTACATAGCAGAGCTTGCAAAACTGTGTTTTTTTTGTCAACAACACGAACGTTGTCAACATAACTCACTGGAAATCCAAAATGCTTAAACACCGGCGACTTCATTGAAAGAGGAGAGGGTTTAAGTTCTGTCGACGGGTCTCCTGTATCTGCAGTTTAACAAGCACTTCAAAAGCCTGTTTTTTTCCCGCTTGGCAAGCCAAGCTGACGTGACATGGGGGCGTGGCAGCAACGACGATTCTATTTTTTGATTTGATAATCGAAATTGAGCATAAACATGACACCCCTAGTTTTGAATAATATTAAGTTTGTGGCACAGAGTGATCATTTGAGACTGAGCCGCGCGCAAAGTTTAAACAGCACTTAGCAGTGAAAATGAAACATCATTTAAATAATCATATTGCATTTTAGAGTTATAATTGCAACAAGCATCTGATTTGTTTTTTCGTTCATAGCGAACACACAGGTTTGCATCAAAATAAATGTTTACAGTGTCAGTATAACTACTCTAGCCTATATAAAGTTGATTTTACCAGTAAATAAAATGGTTTAAAAATGTTGTCAAATTGCAAGCATATATCTCAAATATAATTCAACATCAGAATTACTATAAGTAGAATAGAATTATTTATAGAAACCAGTAGACCTACACATAATATTAATATTGTTGTTTTACCATACGTTTGAGAAAAAACAATAATCTCATATTAAGCTTTATTTTACATCTACAGAGTCTAGAGAAAATCGTGATCTTTATTTTAAGCAAAAAATAAAAATAAAATAAATAATAATAATAATTATAATTCGCAATTCTCATTTTAGCAAGAATCGTGCAGCTCTGTGTACAGCCATTTACTGACAATTAGAGTTTAACAATATATAGAAAAATTATTACTATTTCTTCATGCAACTTTCGAGGTACGATACATTTAATTGATTTTGCGTGCAGCATGCATATGTTTATTCAGATTTGACCAATCAGACAGGGCCTTGCTATCTTTAGACCCATCCACCAGTAAGTGTTGTTCTGCTGTTGTTCTAATGGCGAGAATCGAGACAAGAGGAAAATGACAGACTTTTAAAGTCTGAATGTTTGCACTTTTTATCCTAGATTATATTTCATTGGATCCAAAAAAATAAAAATAAATAAATAAATAAATAAATTATATATATATATATATATATATATATATATATATATATATATATATATATATATATATATATATATATATATATATACTATACCTTCTTATTTTAGCTGTATAATTAATGGTTTAAAAAATAATAGCAAGAAATACTGTCAAAGCAATGCTCCACAGCAATATTAAAAATGTTCCTAGTACCATGCAACCCTGCTGACAATCTGTTCACTTTTATGATTAATGTTTAGATGAATATGTAGATTTCCCAGAGATGGATTGCGGCTGGAAGGGCATCCACTGCGTAAAAATTTGCTGGATAAGTTGGCGGTTCATTCCGCTGTGGCGACCCCGGATTAATAAAGGGACTAAGCCGACAAGAAAATGAAATGAATGAATAGATATGTGTTCTGCTTTTTCCTCTCAATAACAAATTAAACACAAATTAAAAAAAAAAAATAGAAACTGCAGTACAGAAAGCATCCGGTCATTGCGATATGGATGCTTGCACAAGCTCTGCAATTCACAGAGTCATGTCGAAAGATGAGCTCTTTAAAAACACACATATGATAGTTTGGTTGTCAAGTATATTTAAGACTAACATCTGACTATGTGAGATCATACATTTAATAAATAATGTTTCTCTGCACAACACATTGGCATTAGAGTACAGAAATTGAGGTAAAGTTGGTTATATATTCGCACATTAGTACTTTTTCTTTAATAATATAACGTTAATTTCAGAAAAAGTATTAGTTGCAAATTCTAAGTAGGCAAATCATATTAGCAGCCAACCACTATCAAAGCACAACATCATTTAGAGTAGTGCTAATGTTGTTTTGAAGTCATACTTACATGAGATTTCAGTCTGAATGTTCAAAGTAGAATATAGGGGCCGTGTCACACGTTGTCACTGTTCGAAAATGAATGAATGTGCGAATATAAAACCAACTTCACCATAGTACAGAATGGCTAGCTTATCATTTTATGACAGAAAATGTCTAGTTTTTCCAAGTTTTATTAACTTACAAGCTGTTACACGCAATAATAAGTGATTATTGTGTACAAATAACATACTTATGGTCACTTTAAAATATACTTTCACAGAATATATAACAAAATGGATGCTTTGGTTGTTAAAAACAACCAGTAAGCGAACAAAAAGTAAAACACAAGACTAGATAAAGCAGAATTAGGTCAAAAATGCTTGCATTTTAGAATCTAAATCTATGGCTTTTATTTATTCCCTATACTAAAGAACAACTTAAACCAGCCTTAGCTGGTCAGCTGGTTGACTAGCCTGGTTTTAGAGCGGTTTTGGCCATTTTTAGGCTGGTTTCTAGCCATTTCCATCCTGGTCATAGCTGTTCAGGCTGGTAGATTACCAGCTTAAAACAGCCTGACCAGCCTGGTTTAACAAGGTAAATGCAAGAATCCTAAAAGTAATTTTAATACCTTTTTAGGACTTTCGAAAGACAATGTCAGAATATTTTAAGACCTCATCACCATTTCAAGTTCTAATCAGCATCAACCTTTAACTTAATAAAAAAGTTGTTAATAAACAGTTGTAGTTAAATAAATCAATGGAGCATAACCATGCAACAGAACTGAAAGCTTGAAAGAATAAATTACGTGGTTGTTTTCAGCGACAGGCTTCAGCCACTGTTTAAACTCGTCTTTCTCCAACCAGGAGAGCGCAAACTTACATTTTTAAATTTTGCTGTCTGTTTCGCTCTGTGGTTTCGCTACATGTGGAGAGCTTTACATCACCTTCCCGCATTTGTCGCAAATGACATGAAATCATGCGGAAGGAGGAGCTTGGCCAGACACGCCCCAGCCCGAACCAATTATGTGGATCGAGCATGCCGTGGTCAATATTAGGAGAAAAATAAATATATTTATGCTATTTTGGAGTCAAACACTTTGGACAACGCTTGAACAAAATTTAAGACCTTGTAAAAAATGTGATTAAGACCTTTTAAGGGCCTTCATTTTCTCATAATAGATTTATCAACTTTTAATACTTTTTAAGACCCTGCGGACACCCTGTTTAAGCTGGACACAGCCAAAACCAGCTACCATCTACCAGTCTGACCAGCTAAGACCAGGATAGAAATGGCTTGAAACCAGCCTGGAAATTGCCAAAACCACTCTAAAACCAGGTTGTTGCTAGATTGGATATGGTTGCGGCCGGAGGTTAACAAAAATCACTTAAAATATTTATTAAATTTCCCATTTATTGTATTTTATTAATGTCTACTTCTAACCGTCACAGTACTGTAAAATATTAATTACTGTTATACAGTGTCATAAAAAATGCTGCTATATTAATGTGCATATCGCACTTCTGGCCGGCTGCATATCCGATCTAGACTTTACATTAAAATCAGGCTGGTCGACAAGTTACAACCAGCAAACCAGCCTAAGCTGGTTTAAGCTTTTTTTTTTCAGCAGGGTTTATTATAATTTCTTAATATTATTATTAATATTTAATCAATAGCGCTGTCATATTCCTACAATCTTTTTCGTGAAATGTTTTGCTAACAAGTTTTTGCAGTAAAGTTATACTGACCAAACTATCATTTCAGTCCTCAAATCATACCACTTATAGAAAACCAGTTTGCTTTGTAAACACTTTCAGGTACAAATAATTTAGCATTTTTAATAATTTTCTTCTCCCAAGGGGATCAGTGTTAAAATCAGGTTAAAACTCTTACGACCCTTGTGGGGACATTTGCTCCTCATGCAAGTTAAAAAGTAAGGAATTTAGTAACACAAAGTAAGTAATACAAGGTGGGCGGCACAGTGGCTCAGTGGTTAGCACTGTCGCCTTACAGCAAGAACGTAACTGGGCCAGTTGGCATTTCTGAGTGGGTTTCCTCGGTGTGCTCTGGTTTTCCCCACAGTCCAAAAACGTGCGCTATAAGTGAATTGAATAAACTACATTCGTCGTAGTGGATGAGCGTGTGTGTGAATGTGAGTGTTTATGGGTGTTTCCCAGTACCGGGTTGAGGCTGGTCAAGCTAGTTTTAGCTGGTCATTTAGCTCAGCCTGAACAGCTTAGACCAGGCTGGAAACCACCTTGGAAATGGCCAAAACCCCACTAAAAACAGGCTATTCAACCAGCTAAAACCAGCCAACCAGCTGGTTTAAGCTGTTTTTTTCAGCAGGGTTTATTATAATTTCTTATTATTATTAATATTTAATCAATAGCGCTGTCATAGGCCTACAATCTTTTTCTTGAAAGGTTTTGCTAACACGCAATGGCAGTAAAGTTAGGCTAAACTTCAAATGCAATGACATCTATAGCTAAATGAGCTACATGTTGTTATAATAATAAAAAAAGAGTTTATATTTTTACAGAATACACGAATACAACAAAAAATGTTAGGCCTACTTTGGCTGTTAAACATATATACAGTAAGCAAACAAACAAACAAAAACACATAAAAGACATCATAAAGCAGAATTAGGTCGGGTAGTAGCATTTTAGAATCTAAATCTATGGCTTTTATTTCTAATTCTTATTATTAATATTTAATTAATAGTGCTGTCATAAGCCTACAAACGTTTTGTTGAAATGTTTTGCTTACATGTAATTGCAAAGTTATGCTAAACTTCAAGGTGTCATTCAGACACTATGGCTAAACGAGCTACATTTTATGATGACAATTTTTAAAGAATGTAACTAGCTGTATTAAAATACCCTCCAACAAAAAACAAAGCTAAAGAAAATACAGGCAGAGCTAATGTTGACATCTTGAGTTTCCCCGTGTTGACAAGTCACATGAGGCACAGATCGACCACATCAACAATCTGCCGCTGCCATATGGTCTATGCTGGGCAACTTCTGTCAGCAGTGTTTTGTTTTGCTACAAAACCCGTTTAACTAACATAGTTTGAGGCCAGAGGAATTATCACAAACTTTCTTATGGCATGAGCACTAAGTTAGCGCTCAGTTAGCTAACGATGACTTTGGTCTCACCCAACAGAACAGCCGGACGATAGTTTGCGTTTGTTTTATGAAGCTCCAGAAATCAAAGGCTCCCCCGGCCAGCGATGCTCCGTAAGCACTCGACTCCATCTCCGCGTTTGTGCCACCCAAGGGTCCGTGTCGGTCAGGGAGTCCGCAAATTGCCCAGCTTTGATATGAAGATTTACTTTCACACTTGTTTCCTGAAAGTTGTGCGCCACCCTTCAAGGAAGTACACGTCACTCCAACACACCACACGAGCTGTGCCACAGGCGGTGGGTTATGATAATATTTAACCAGCACACAGTCAAGTCAAGAGACCTCCTGAATGTCAAACAAACCCATCTATCTATCTATCTATCTATCTATCTATCTATCTATCTATCTATCTATCTATCTATCTATCTATCTATCTATCTATCTATCTATCTATCTATCTATCTATCTATCTATCTATCTATCTATCTATCTATCTATCTATCTATCTATCTATCTATCTATCT